TTTTTTTTTTTTTTTTAGAATTTACTTTGTATACTAATAAATCAACTTTGAATTAGCAAATACCAAAGCTCAAGCCCTTTTATAATCAATTTTTTTCTAATTTGTATAAGGATTTAAAGTTTATTAGCTTAAAAAAATAATCATGGTTGCCAATGATATGAAAATAAATTCTAAAAAACAATCAATATATTTCAATTTAAAATTTTACTATTAATAAAACTATTTAATGTATTTGGTCATTATTTATTAAATGGTAATTATATTTATTTGAAGAATAATTTATATTTTTTATATATAACAAAATAAAGCTTAAGCACTATTAATAATTTATATTTTCTAAAGGAAGTGAGGTCACCCCAAACCCTAACTTTCATTCTCTCTACTCATTTCTCTCAGCTGCTGCTTCCGAGCAGAGCTTCATCACTCTCATATTGACTTGAGCGTCGGAGGATCTTCACCGGAAACACTTCCGGTGTTCAGTTCTTGCAAGTATTTGTAGCGGTCGATTTGGAGACGGTTCGAGCAGATCGGAACCCATTACCACTGGTTCACTTCAAATCTCGAAGTAGACCCATCAACTAGGAACCTAAAAGAAGACTCACAAAACAGCAACACAACAAACCACAAAACTACAACAAAAAGCTCCCCACAGGATAATAAAGACATGAGTAGATCCCCACAGGATAATAAGTTGCTCCCCATCGAATTGAGGCCAACGACCCAAACCAAAAATATAGAACACAAACACTTAGGCAAGGAGCCCATACCTAAAACACAATCCTACCACACAAGACAACACATAAAAGACAAAAGAAAAAAACAAACTAGCCCTCCCTCTACAACAATTCCAAACCATACTAGCAGCCACCAAATCAACCCAAGGAAATCCCACAACATCAGAGAAACGACCCCTCCACTGCCAAGCCGCCTAGCTCAATCGCAACTCAAACCGCGAAACCCACCTAAAGTCAATTCTCTCCTACACCCCAGACACCAAGAAAGCCCCCAACACGGCCAGACCGAGCCCCCTAACACCACTAGCCGACTCTAAAGAACTGTGAACACCCCGAAACCCAAACCCAGAGAACCGGGAAAAAGGAGTTGTCTCAACGCTGCAGCCCCACCATCCCAAATGCACGAAGCACTTGAGCCATTCAAGAACCCAACCTCCGAACCACAAAGTATCGCCAGTTGCAGGCAAAAAAA